GTGATAGACAGGAGAGAACATATTTTAGATCAGACCTCCATAAACTTGAGAGTGCAGCAGAATCACCTGAAAGGCATGCACAAAAAGATTCCTGGCCTCATTCCAGTAGTTTCTGGCTCAGTGGTTCTGAGGTGGGACCCAAGCATATGCATTTCTAGTAAGTGATCAAGTGATGCGGATGCTGCTGTTTCATACCTGAAATAGGACCAGTTTAGATCAGTGGTTCTCAGCCTTGGCTGTACATCAGCATTACATGAGATCTTTTAAACATACTGATGCTTGGTCCTCAGCCCTTAGCCAACAGAATCAATTTATGAGGGCAGAGACTGGCATCTGTATTTTAACTGCACCAGGCGATTCTGGTGCACACCAGGCTTAAAGAACAAGAACACAACTTGTGTCTTTGAAATTGTTTAGGGGCATAGCATTGCAGACTTGAGGACTCTGGTCCCTTAGAAATTGCCATTCTTGGCTTCAGGGAAAATTACACAAGCCATCATAGTAATTAGGGCTGACCAAAGGGGCAGGGCTCATCAGCCCCACCCTGTCCACTCAGAGCAGCTTGGCTTCCCTTTACATCATATCCTGTATGCCTGGAAAAGTTTTCTTAAAAAACAAAAGACACCTAGCACAGTGGTAGATTAATTATAAATATGGTGATTATGAGGACACTGGATAATAAATGCTTCTAATCTATATATATATATATAAAATCTTTCTATATATAAAAGCCTAAGTGACCTTTATGACCGGATGACTGGCCGGTAGCTATGACACACACTGACCACCAGGGGGCAGATGCTCAACACAGGAGCTGCCCCTTGGTGGTCAGTGTGCTCCCACAGCCAACCTCCTGCGCCAGCCAACCTCCTGCAGTCCCTCCCCCCAGCCGGCTGGCCGAATCGAGACTGGGTGAGACACCGGGTGATCAGGCCCCAATTGGGTCTGATCACCAGCCAGGCCAAGTGACCCCACCCTTGCACAAATTCATGCACCAGGCCTCTAGTTTCTAATAAAAGTAGATTTCTAGTAGTCTAAATCACCCTCACATCTCCTCCAGATCACCATAAAACCCTCTTCTTAGCTCATCTCTATGTATGCACTCTTTCCTACCACACAATTCGGCCCCTAACAAATCATTTCCTACAGGGGAGCCAGAAGGTTCTTTTAAATTACACACTACACACACACACACACACACACACACACACACACACGAAGACCTTCAGTGTTTCTTGCTGCATGCATGATGAAATCTCTACCTCTCACCTTGGCCTCCAGGACTTCAATTCTTACCACTCTCTTCTTTGCTCATTGCATTGTAGCCAACCAGGCATTTGCTCCTAAAATATACCCCATTCTATCCCATCTCCAGGCCTTTTCACATGCAGAGCTCTCTGCCAAGAATGCAGTCTACCAAGATCTTCCCTTGGCTGTTCCTTTCTATTCTTCCAATTTGCACTCACATGTCAGTAACTCCAACCAGACTTTACCAGTGCAGAGTCTGTGTAAAGATTCCTTCCTCCCTCTACTCCCTGATCTTGCCATTTGCTTTTTCATATCACCCTGCTTCTGCTTTCACAGCACCTGTTCTCCTCTGCAATCTTCATGCTTATATATTGACTCATTAAACTGTCTGTCTCCTCACTGGAATACAAGCTCCATCACAAGGGGCCTGTAATGCTTGCTCAAACCTATGCTTACCAATCCCCAATCTTGGTGTCCAGCATATAAAGGTGCTTCTTACTTATTTAATGAATGAATAAATAGTCCAATAGCCACAGTCACTGAGTCAGAGATGATTCATCCAACTAAGCACTATTGTTCAAATTTCAAGTTCACCAAAAAAAATACAAAATGGTTAAAATTTGATTCTCCATGATGATGCTTCTGTGGGGGAAGAATGTGTTGACCAGGCAGCACCAGTATTTCTGTCGATTTTACAGTGACTGTTTCCTCTTGGGAAAGTTGTGGTTTTGATTTTTGCAACAGTGTGTTCTGGATCTGATTAGTATGATTTAGTTTCTTTGATCTGGTTCCTTTGATCTTAGTTTTTAGAAAGCTGACCCAAGGCTGCTCCTGGAACAACACATTTGAAAACTAGGATCTAAATTAAAAGGCCACATATCATCATTCTGATACAGTAATGGAACTTACCTGAATGGCTGCCTTGAGATTATCTATAAAAGCAACTAGTTTGTTGCTTAGCCAATGACATGCTTCTGACACAACTTCAACATCATTATGTACCACACAGATCAGATCATGACATTCAAAGCTGTTACTACTGGGTTTTTTTGCAAACACTAATCTTTTGATAGTTTTTTTTTTTGGCAAAAACAGTTTGCCTTTTTATAATAGAGGAATTAAGGCCAATTTCAGCTCGTCACCAAGACATCAGTTTGTCTCATGTATGCTCATCTCTTAATAAAAACGTGCTTTTGTCATTTGTCTTTTGTCTGACTTACCTTGCCAACGTCTCTTGGGAAAGGTTGTCTCTGATTCTCTGGAATTAAAATGGGAGATACCACAATGGACCTCTTTTGTCTTGGGACAGGAGACGTTCTTGCAAATTTAAATATATCCTAAAAGATAAAAAGTAAAATCAATTGACCCCAGGGAGAGGATGTATCAGCCTGCTGAGATATGGCTCCTTTGTTGTGAAGGCATGCAGCTGTTTGGACACTGTTAATTTTATTCCATCAAACCTCATTAGTGTTAGCAAGTACATCCTTAGAATTCTACTAAACCTGACATTGTGATTCACAATGACTATCATTAAGCTATTTAATCCCATTTTCTGAATCATTCTATTCACAGTGCCAGTCTTGATTTATACATCTCTTAGTACTGAGCATTCCCACTCTGCTCTTTACCTGCCGAGTGAGGAGATTACTCAGCTGGTCATGAACCCACAGGACTCACTGGATATTAAAGTGACTCTCCTCAGGGCCACCTGCAAGGTCCTTACACTCCCAAATGAACAGGGAAGAAGGAGCAATCACAAAGTTCCCAACTGTCAAGCATTATGGACACTTGGAGTCAATGTGTTTTCAAGGACCACTTGTTGTTGTTACTACTCATGGGAGGACTGTGGTGATGCACTCCCCATGCAGTATGTCCCAAACTTTAATCACTGGAACACCATTGTCAGGATGTCTGCCCCATCTGTAACTCACCTTTTTAATTAACCAAATGTGTGCAAAAACTCCTTTTTTATCAAGATTTTAAATAAAGTACCAGTATTGATTTCTATAAAATAATGGAAAACATAAAAATAAACATACTGGAGACCAAATGATGTTATTAAATTTGAGTTAGAAACTTCAGGGAAAAAAGCCCCTCTTTTTAAAAGGGAGATGAGGAAGTGCTAGAGGGTATTAAAGAGTTGTTGGCGCCAAACTTAGACTTTCTCCTTGATCTGATCAGAAGACTGAAAAGGAACTGAAAATAGAATATCACTGTCAATACATAAACCAATCTCATTTAGTGCCACATGCTAGCTAAAATTATCTTATGTATCATCACAAGTAAGCATCTCAAACTTTGAGCAACCAGTTTCTATCAAAATCATGTGGCAACTTATACTTAAATATCATCACTGACACATGCCCCATAAAAGTATGTGTATGTATACACATATATAACATATATACAAACATATATGTATACACATATACCTACATGTACATATATTCACACATATATTATAGTTTTAAAGAAAAATCTGTATGAGAAAAGTCAAACAGAAAACAAGATCAGCTAAGGCTATGGGAATTTCTATAAATAATCTTTCTCTTGAATTTCTGGAAGTGTAAACTGATGGTGCTCTGGTGGGAAGCAATCTGGCACTATTTATCTATTGAGAACCTTACAAATGCACATATCCCTTCACTCTGGAATTTCACTCCTAGGAATATATACAAATGTTAAATTGAAAAGAAGAATAAAACTGTATGCAAGAGGATGTTTAGTGAGACATTACTTATAAAGGGCAAAAATGGCAAACAGCCTGAATGTTCAACCACATGACAAGGTTAAACTTGGGTCCATGAGAGGGAGATACTCCTAAGCATTTTCCCATAAGACAGTTGTGAAGACCATGTTCTAACCACATTATCATAATTTGACTACTGCCATAGTCACCACCACACACTCCTAGAGTAGTCACAATGTATTAAGTGTGTGTCAGGTAATGGGCCAGGCACTTTACATGTGACTGCTCTAATATTTGCCATGAACTTCCCAAGGAAATCTTAGCCTTCCTAAACCAATGAAGAATATCAAATACAGAGTGGTTATGCTAATTGCTCCAACTCACCTAGCTAGCAGAGAAGATATATAAAATAAAACATGTAGGAAAATATAGAATGCCATATTGGACACCATCTGTTTTACTATTTTATATAAACTATATTGAACATTGAAAAATAATATTCAAAATCTCAATGAATGAGTTCAAATATTCAAGCAAAGACAGAAAACTAGAGTGTAAATGATGGTGGGGAGAAAGAGTAGGAAGGGTTAAAGCATTAATAACAATGACTCAACTAACCCAAAAATATGTATATAACCCAACCCATCCAAGCCAAAAAGGGCATAGAGAGTGTGGAACAGACAATTAAAAACAGAGTGGATTACATTCATAAAACACTGACATCTAACAGCTATGAAGATTCTGTTGGTTTATTAGGGGGTGGGAAAAGAAGAGGAATTATGTAAAATACATGCAATATATAAAACTCATTTACAATAAATAGCATCCTAAGGCTCAGATGAGAGAATGTCCAGAGAAACACTTTGAAAAGATTTAAAATCCTGTGTGAATGTAAGGAATTGATGATTCATCTCTATAACAGAGCAAATATAGGTTTTAGTGCATTACGACAACATCTGTGTAAATGTATCTGGCATAATGAAAAGCACTCTGACGCTCACAGCATCCCGGAAGCTTGGCAGCAAGCACAACTGTGTCAACCCCTGGCTCTAACAAGCCTAAGAATAGAGAAAGGAGGCTCAGAGTCTCAGAATGGAAGTAGCCTCCGGAAGGGGAGAGGGGGAGGTAGAGTGATCAATTGTAGAGGAGCCTGCATGTACACAGGACTCTCTGAGCCCACCATGGGGGTGCTGGGCCAGGGCACCCTTTTTCTCCCAACTCTTCACTTTTTGCCTTCCAATGGCAGGGACCTCAAAAAACATTTGTCCATGGCTGTGTGTTTCTATGTCTGTGGCTCCATTTCTGTCTTTGTGGCTTATGTATATAACTATGCATTTGTTGACAAATGTACACCTATATATCTGCTGCTGTGCCCACCTTTCTTGGATCTGTGCTAATGAGTTGTTCTGTGTGTTCTTAACCCCTATGCTTCTGTGGGACTGGGGCCATTTAGGAGCCGCAGGGTCATGAGCCTGGGCACATATATGTATAACCATGTTTATCCTCAACTCTCTCTGTGTGTTTGTATCTGTCAAGCCATTGCGTGAAGCCTCTGAACACACCAGACTGTGGCCATAACCTCAAGGAGAGATAAGACAGAGTAGGGGGGATAAAAAGACTGTGAGCAATTCAAGAGAAGTTTATAGATGGAGATGAGACAGGGTGAGGAAAAGACCAGATCTTAAGAGTAAAGGAGAGGCTGTGTTAGGAATCCCTGCCTTCTGGTGTTGCCATTACCAAGATAGTGGCCAAAAAGGGGAAAAAGGCAGTTTTGGGCATAGATTCAAGGTTGTATAGACTTGTTGACTTTGAGGTGTCATTGTACATCCAACAGCGATTTCTAGAGGGTGTACAAAGAGTGCAGTTAGAGGGAGGGTGAATCAGGGAGAAAAATGTCATAGTCATCTATGTATAAGAGAAGCTGGACATGACAGAAAAGCTGACACCACCCAGGTTATGTGAAGACGGAAAAGGAAGGAATGCAACCATCCAATGGGTTTGTAAAGGCCAGCAAAGGTCACAGAAAGGTTAGTTGGCAAAAAGGAGAAAACACAAAAAACGAAGAGATGAGAATTTCAAAAAGGAAGGAGTTCATGGCCATGTCACACAATGCAGACATCCTTTCCAGCAAGCTGAATACTCTAAAGAGGCTTTGGGCTTGATGATGAAAAGATAATTGACAATTTCGGGAAGAGCAGCATTAAGAGTGTGTAATGGTGGAATGTCAGAGGAACCAATGGGAAGTGAGGACTTTGGTTCTGAAGGAAAGGAAATAAATGGGAAGAGGTTTGTCAGTGGAAGGGGGACCGGGCGGGGTGGTGGGCTTGAGGAAGGAGGGGACGGAGGAAGGAACTGTAGCGCAGGGAGAATGAAGACACGGAATGGACATGGATGCCTGAAGGAGTTGGGAGGGGAGTGGATCAACCTCACAGTTAGCCGTGAAAGAAAGATGAGATCTGCTTTCCTTGGGGAGGACATTCAGAGGTTTGGGGGGAATCTCTCATCTGCAAAGGAGGATCATTTGCTTTTGGTTCTCAGAATGAAATGAGAAATTGTGCATGGAAGAGGTCTGTGCTCTCCAAAGAACAGCACAAAAGTGAAGGATGGGTCTTATTAATACCAGAACAGCAGGGGTGAAGAAATGAAGATGAACCACTCAGTCCCTTTTAAGAGTGAGTAATTCCACTGTGGGTGGCCAAGGCCAGACCTTAGAGACACACCGAGACATGCAGCCACCTAAAGATTTCCAGATCACCTGGTGCATGCACACTGACATCAAAATTTTCTCTCACCAAACACAAACACTCATGCACAACTAACACACACACACACACACACACACATACACAGTATTCATAGAGAGTGAGCAACTGTCCCTGTGCCTTCATGGGGCACTCCCTACATCCTGCAATCACTGAACAGGGATTCATCAGCGGCTTTGAACCTGGAACAGCCTCAGCAGCCTCATCCAATCTTGCATAAGTCAAGTGGGCAGAACTGTGTCCTCAGGGAGACTCACTCTGCTGGATTTTATTACAAGAGAATTGTCTCCCTCACGCAAACAGCATTGTCTCCAGTAGGCTACAAGGGACTTCATCTTTCTGTCGTAATGTATCTGGGTTTACAATCTCATTTGCTTTCCTTCCTGTTTCTCAATTTTGGGAGAAGTTGGCAGTGCATTAAAAGCAAGGTTAATAATGCCTGGGGAGCATCATATCACACAGTCCCCAAGAGCACGTCAGAAATAAAGGGGAGCCCCTTGTAACTGTGAGGGACAGGGGAGGGGTGGAGGTTTGGAGGAGAGGATGGGGCTCAAGGGAAGGAGGAAGGCAGAAAGAATGAAAGAATGGGTTAATATCCATCCATCCATTCCTTCATTTCTTCAAAAACTATCTGCAGATCCCTTCCTCCCTGCCCCAGAGTAATTCTAGGACTCTGGGATAGTGCACAAGAAAGACACATCCCCTGCCCGCATGGAGCTCACATTCTAGAAGGAGGAGAAGACAGTGAACACAGAGAGAGTAATACATGTCCCAGGAGAATAAACAAACAAGGAGAGGCTGAATGTGCACAGAGGAGTGTATGCTAACAGACAGACAGGAGGCCAGGAAAAGGGCCCCCTAGAAGGGGGGCCTTAGAGGATGAAAG